CCAAATACTTTTATATTCTTTGTACAACTTACTCTCATCTATTTCTCGTTCCTTTTAATTATTTTTTCATATTATCGACAACATAGAGCAAAAAAATATGAGAACAATAAATGAAAAGCCATAAATTATGGATGTACATGGAATGAAAGAATTCATCATAATTAAAGATGAATAATAAAAAACTTTTTTTTTCCACTTCTTTATAATAGGATTTTGAAGAAGCAACAGCAGAAAGTTATTTTCTGCAAGCTTTTCATATTAAAAGAAAATATGAAAGCAGCACAAAAATGACATCAAACTTGAATAGAGAGAGAAAAAATCTATTAAAAAAAGTTTCAGGAACTTCCATTGAAATAAGGATGAGGAAAACCTCAATGCATCTTTTTTTATTTTCACTACATGACGGAATAGATTTTAGTATTCAAAATGATGATAAAGTAAATATTACATGAAAGAAATTGAAGGTAAAAAGTATCTCATACATGAGTGAAAATCGATTTTTCTTTGTATATGGCATCAATATTTCCTTTTTCTAAACATAAATGCCTTCCTTGTTCTCATGAAAGAGATGTTTGAATTAAATCGTAAGGAAGTCACTGATGGTGTTGATCAGAAGTGCTTTATATTTAGATGAGACAACGATCGAATAGTTCAACGCAGGGTTCAACGTCAAGTAAGGACAACAAGTAAGGACGTCAAGTAAGGACGTCAAGTAAGGACGTCAAGTAAGGACGTCAAGTAAGGACGTCAAGTAAGGACGTCAAGTAAGGAAGTCAAGTAAGGACGTCAAGTAAGGACGTCAAGTAAGGACGTCAAGTAATGGCGTCAAGTGAGGACTTCAAGTAGTTCAAGTAGAAACATCAAGTAAAGAACTTCAAGAAAGGATGCCAATTATTACCGTATTATTTTGATGAACGACTCAAGTAAACGACACCCTAAGAACCTTCTTTTTCCAAATTTTTTTATAAGTGCTTATGAAATCTACAAATCAATTCTATTAATCAGACATATCAATTCCTAACATTCTCAAATTGTACCCAAAAATATGGATATAGAAAGTAAAATGGTTTATGAGATAAAAATTTCTTTGATAGCTCTTGATATTGATACTGTCTCAAGAAGGTTCGGTAATTTCTTATTATTACATCTATTCTATAAATTCTAAACTGTTTATCCCAAAGTATAGGAATTTTTCGTACCATATGGTAACATATATGAAAGCTTTTTTTTTTTTGTCAAAAAGCAGGCGTGCGCATCGGCGTAACGTTTAAGTGCATAAATGAGAAAGCTTTTAAGGAAGAAATTCTTCGCTTCCGATTTCCAATAAATTACCACATGTTTCTATATATAGCATATATCAACGCTCTTTCGCTTGACAGCTTTTCATCCCTAGAATGACATTAAGTAGACTTATTACATGACGAATAAGGATAGAATGGAATTTTTACGACATCATTTTATATTCTCCTGTTAACTCAAATAAAAATGAAAAATTTACTATGATGAATTTTTGCTTCATCTGTTTCCTGCATTCGTATGTTCGTACTTAAAAAAAATCCTTCAAATGAACCTCTTCGATCAACAATTTTTGTTTGCTGTAAAAAATTTGATTGTGGGGATCAGTTTGGATTTTATTCTGTGCCTACTTATTTTGGAGTAGTTTTGCACGCAGCATCTGGGATGTCCATGGTTAGAGGCTGGTTTAAATCTAAGGTTAGCTTAAAATATTTCTGAGACTAAGGCAAGGGCTTGGAGTGTCCCTAGAACTTCTACTTCTCATTCCTAAACTTTTTATCGTTATCTACGAAAGACTTAAGAATTTATGGAAAGTCACATACCTTTGACAGTGATACAGTCACATATTACTCCTTTCCTACTTGTTTTTCTTCACTTCCCTTTCACTTCAGTTGAGTGTCATGTTATGTCACAATTTTTATTTTATCGCTCACTTTTTATGTCTCTTTTTCTCTTGCTTATGCTGTTCTCTTCGAAAGCTCTGTTTAAACAAACTCCTTCGTACCACAAGAGTACATACATGAACATTATACGGGATTTAATGTTATGAGAAAAAAAAAGAAAAAAGGAAATTCTTTCAATGAAATGGCAAGAAAAATTACAAGAAAAAAAAATTGTATATTTACAAGTCTTTCACCAACTTGAGTTCCTTTTTATGCTACAAGAAGCACAACTTTTGCATGTAGGATTTTTTTTAAAATTTTACTTCAAATACTTGTCTTAAAAATTCTTTTCAACTTTTTTTTCTTTGATGTCAATTTTTTTGCAAGATTAAATATATACTTGGGGCATTCATAAATGACGTCCACAAGAAAAATAGATTTTAAGCCTCTCCCCTGTTAAAACGCAGCTGTTAGGGGCCATTCACTTATTACGTAACGCTTTTAGGGGGAGGGGGGGTCTAAGATTTTGTTACGATTCAAACAAGGAAATTTTTTTTTCATACAAATTTTGTTACGAGGGGGGGGGGGTCTAAGAAGTCATTTTTCGCGTTACGTAATAAGTGAACAGCCCCTTAAGCAATAATTTTTCTGATTAGGATGTGTCAAACGGCGGTAGAACATCATTTATGAACGATCCTCGTGAGATATTAAAGATTTTTATAAATAGAAGTAAAGATCCAGCACAAAAATAATTCAAAAATAAATAGAAATAAATTAAGTGGTTATGAGAAGTTGTAAAGTGGTACATCCGAAATTTCACACAATCATGTTCTCTCTAGGAGCAGCTGGTTAAGTGGTAACACTTTTATCAGTCGTCTAGAAAACATTTTAGAAATCCACAAATCCCTCAAAACCTCTATAGAATTCAAACACTTTTATATTCAATAAGCAATACATTCAGGTCACTTAGATATTCTAGCTGTATTCTGATAATTAAACCATGTCATATCCGATTTATTTTCTACCTGAAAGAATATTTGCTAAAAATATTCATAAATGAAAATTTGTTTAGTCTTGAATAGTATAAACAAAACCAACCAGAGGAATTTGTGGTATTTATTTAAAGGAGAAAAATTGCTGCAAATTCTCGCCAACATGAGTTGTTCATGTCGACAATGCATATGTTTGAGTTTATTTATTCGATTGCATCTACATAAATAAATTAACTATGCAGGAATATTTTTCATCATTTTTAAAACTTTTGGAAGAATCAGTCTTACTGGATTGATGCATGAAAGAGAATTATTCATTCCTGAATGATTAAATATTAAACTTTTCATGTAGCATTTTAATTGGAAGTTTTAAGAATCCATATATTCTCTATTTACTTCAGGTTACTCCAGGGCTTCTAAAACTTTTTTGATTTGTGGCGCACCAGATGCCATTTTGCTAAAGGTTTGAACTTAAATAATGTTTAACCAAATCTTCAAAGCAGAGTCTAGTGTACCATAACACACATATTGAGAACCACTGCTTTTAAAAACCAGTTATAAATTGACGACAATTTTTATGCAAAACAGAGTCCAGTGTACCACAACACACCGATTGAGAACCACTGCTTTTAAAAACCAGTTAAGATTTAAAGCTTTTAACAAATTGACGACAATTTTTATGCATATTTCAAAGTCAAATCCTGATTGCATTAACAATCTAATGACCCTACATAAACCAAGCTACTAAAAATTTCATCACCGTAAACAAATTCCGCTCGTTTAGCTAAAATGGAAAAATTTGACAGCAAAATAATATTCTTGCATGATAAGTCAAAAAATAAAATTGTTCGCAATCCTCATGTCTGTGGGAAAGAACAGAGGGATTTACAGCAGTAGAAAAGTAGAAATCCAAATATGTATATAGCGAAAAATTTACTTACTCTACCAACAATGGAACATAAAAATCGAGAAAAATAAAAAATACAAATAAATAACTGTCGACGATGTTTAATGTTCCAACATAAGGGAATATGGAAGTGGTATTTTTGGAGGTCGAAACGGTAGATGAATAATAGTATGCAACTTTGGGATGTACCATTTAATGTAGCTACTGTCACCGTATTTTTTTTTATGAACATCCTCCCGTGACGATATTATGCTTATTCCTCATACAGACAGATCCCAAAATTGAGATCATTATGAGCATTTTATGGCAAAATAAGAAAAACCATAAAGTATCACAGAAGCAGTCTTAATGATTGCTTATAATCCCTAAAGGTTTTCATGTTTTTGTTCGTCCTGCAATTATAAAGAAAATTGTTTTCCACTTTCTCGTATCAACCACAAAAATACCCTCATCACTGACAGAAACAATGAATGAAATTGAATCGAGCTCATGAAAATCATGGAAAGCATTCGTACATTTCCTATTGTTTTATTCCGTTCAATTTATTTCTTTGCACGTATATACTAGATTTTTTTGTGTAGCCAGAGGCGTAGGTAGAACTTTTTAGGTATCCAAAATCAAACATAAAATCCAGTGGTGATTAAGTCATGACTGCAACTAGAAACAAAGATCCAGGAGTGTTAAAACTATTTCTGGAACCGACAGACACGAAAGGCATACGTCGTAAAATTGACTGTCAATCTGAAGTCAACGACAGCACTAAAACGGCTCGATGACAGATTTCACCAAACTTGATGTGGTGCCGTCCTGGACTAAGGGTGAGGAACTGATTAAAATGATAAATATTGATCAACATCTAATTTATCAGCTCCGCATCCTTTTCCTGGGCACCAGATTTATAGCCAGTTTTTCACCGTGAGCCTTTCAAGGGATATAAAGCGCTCTGAGTTCCTTTACTCGAACCAAATCATTACTCTTCACTTAACTTTCTTTTTTTTTGGTAAACGTTTATAAGAAGATTACATCGACATGTAATGAAACGTGTACAATTTGCACGAAAACAAAAATAAAATGTTTGAGTCTTTCATGTTTGTGTTCCTTTGAGAATAGCTTGTGTAGCTTGCGATGAGAGAAAATCAATTTTCGTGATGAAATCTATTAACAATTACAGAGACAAATTTTTAAAGTACTTTGATTAAAAGTCTCACGTTTTATTTTGCAAAAATATTTTAGTTTTTATAAAAAAAATCTATTCCTTTAAATCCTTGACTTCCTTATCGTCCAAAATATTTGCACCATATTCAAGCCAACTTTTCAGCATTGCCAAGTTAACCTTACCAAACACGAATTTCTGATGCTTATTATGTTTATCACATTTACTAGCTATAACCTGTTTAGTCTCAAAATCCGCATCAAGGCATAAATTGTTACGCTTTGGGCCCCAAAAAATCTGCATTGTTTCGATATCGTATCGGAAGTATTGATTTCCCTGCTTATAATGACAATGTGCATACGTGAATCCATTTCCACGTCGTGCATTTTGTATGCAGTCTGAACGACCACGTATTTGTATATCGCGAAAATGTCGTAGAATGAAATATTGATATTCGTGTGGATGAACTATATTTGGATCACATTTTTGTATTTCAAGTCTAGATGATTCACCATAATCGGAGTCACCAGATATCTCTAGGCATGTGTCATTTTTCTCAAACAGACGAATCTAAAAATTAAAGGATTATAAGTATTACATCACTTAAGATATTACGGAAAGGCAACGAAAATGATCAACCACAAACATTTGGAAAGGAAAATATCCGAATAAAATAAATTTCAAATTTACTTACACCGCCTGAAGCAAAATGTTGATACTCATGTATTGGATATCTCTCAAGCATATCCGGTGCCAGACGTTCAAAGAAGTAGGAAATTGGCAAACAGTTTAGAGATTTTTTCAATCTCAATTGTTCGATTATGTCCTCCTCATCTACACGAATTCTATTATAACGTTCCGGATGTCTTGAATAAAGAGCTTCTTTATATTCTTCAAGCCAAATTTCAGCTACACGTTTATTATTTGACGCCTTAAAGTCAATTTCATTGAAGTGTTTTTCGTGAGGAAATCTACGATAAAGATGTGCTATACGTGAGCAGGGATGTTCGAGTGTCATGCCGCCACATAGATTAATTTTAAAACTCATTTCAATAAAGTCAGCTCCTTGTGTTATTAATTCAAAGTCAGGTTTAAGTTCCCAAAAGAACTTTTGACTAATTGCATAAGTTGATCCATAAATGACTGGTGTAAAGTATGGCTCATCAGGTTTCATTTCAGTATCCCTGGCATTCAATGGAATTCTTTGAGCATGAAAATGCCAATCAAAAACTGTACGTGCTGGATCTAGAGGCAAAATCTCATAATTATTTTTATCGATAATGTCGAGGGTAGGAATTGTGACCATTCGATAATTTTTTGCGATTGGTTCGAGCAGCGGTGGTAAATAATTATATCCAACCTCAACGTGACAATCCATAAATAATAAAACATCAGCACTTGCAAGTCGAGCACCAGCTAAACGACTCCATATTACACCCGAATGTTCTTCCATTTCAATCATTTTTACTAAACCTGCCCATCCTTTAACAGCTATATGATTTTCAAGCTTTTCATAATGCTTTCGTGAAAGGTCATTAACTAAGATGATTTCCTTTAAAAGTTCACGAGGTGTACGATTAATGATGCTGTGAAGGGTTCTTAATAATGTTGAAATATGTTCATCATAAAATGGAATGATAATTGAAACTTTTGGTAAGTCTTTCAAATTCTTCTTTTTCTGACATGCATCATTACGAAAATCAGGTATTGAACGGTCAAGTGCAATCATATCACTCACTAGCACATTATGTCCATTTTCTCGGACCAACATTTCTTCTAATTTTGGATCTTGTCCATCCACATAAGTGTCAGCTGAAATAAAAATTACAGAAATGAGTTAAAGTTAAATTGAGGGGGAACACAACATGATGAGGAACAATATTGATGAGAAATTTCCGTCGATTATGATCATGTTGTGAAATTGGCAACCAAATTCTGAAGGGGAACACAACTTGATTGGAGTTTATTATTGAAATTTCAGTTTCTCATCATGTTGTTATCCCCCTCAATGCAAAATTGGAATAATTCAAATTCGCTTATATATCAAAATATTCACGTACTTCCATGTTCACCATACCCAATTCGTTTCTCATCCCTCCTGATGAGCTCATAATCATTCCAATCATGTAGAATTTGCGTATGATTTTTACGTCGAAAGTAAGAGCTGAATGGCTCAATATAAATGTATGTTTTATCGATTGCCATAGGATCATTTGATGTTGCGATGAACTTGTAAATGCCGACGATTAACATTATGAATGCTATAATGCTCCACGTGACACATTTGTAAAACAGACTTCTTTTTCTTTTAATCTGAAATGAAAATTGATTTAAATTTAATTTCAATCTTTATAGCTCATCATTACCTGTCGACAGAAGAAATCAAAGCGAATCAAAATCAACCCAAGAACCATTTTTAAATTATAATTTATTTATTTCTACAACCAATCGCTAAGTTCCATCTGCTTGTAAGACTCAATTTCAACTAAATTATAACATTTAAAAATTGAGAATTGTCGAAAATGGATGCATACATACATACAGAAGGTCGAGGTTGTTTAATCAAGTGTTCCTTGTAGCGTGTGTAATTTTTTTTATATTTATTATTATTTTAGTGTGTATGCGCTTTCATTAAAGTTATGTGCTCAGTCTTTTGGGATGAAATATTTGGTTTTGAAAAATTGTTGATTATTTCGAATTGACCTGATTTGGCAGACACTTTAATGTTATGAACATTGCAGCGAAGTGGATACTATCCTTAAAACTAAATAGCAGCAACATGAGTGTCATTTCCAATATCGATGTCAAGTTCTTGCCCATTTTTAAGCGGCTGGAGCTTAATTCTAAATATACAGCCGTTGCAGAACAACATTTCAATGAATGACAATCAAGTCATGTGGAAAGACTAAAATCTCATTTTTGTGCAATGAAGCAGTAAATATTATCGACAGCCATAATCCTTACGCTTCAATTCTTTTATAATTTTGATTTGCAATTTTATTTGGTTTTCATACGTCAATTACTTAAATGATTGTGGATATCCATTACATTAAATCAAGCAACAATGTATAAACAGCTGAAAATGCAATAAAGTTTTCCAACAAAATGATCTGCGTCTAAATAAATAATGCTAGTCTATAAAACATTTACGAGGTTTAAAAGCTTTCTATTGTATGCGAAATCCTCAAGTTGACTTTGGAGCATTTTCCTTACTTAAAAATTGATCATCAAATAGAGTCAACCTCATTAATGTTACCATTATACTTTATTCATGTTGGTAAATTCAGTTATATTGGATACATAAAGAACGTAACCAGGCAAAGTCAAATTTCTTCATTTTTTGAAAAAAATCTTAAAATTCAATGTAAAGTTCTTCTGTCAATACCAAAAAAAAAAAAATCAATCCCATCTCGTCAAAAACTTCCTGGCTACGCCCTTGCATAAATAAATGCAAGTGAAAGATAGTAAAGCTCATTAATTTAATTATAGATAGTAATGAAAAGAAAATGCTTTTCCTTCCCTTAATAGGACTTTTGATGCAGACTATTTAAGCGCGGGAATCACTTTAGAACTGCACTTTAGTGAATTAAAATTAAATGCTTATGGATTATGTTTGCAAACTTTATCAAGCACTATTGAGATTTCCTTGTTATATTGAATTAGAGACTGTTTAGGACTAGGAAGTACGTACGAGATTTTAAAAATTAGAAGCAGCTCTTCTAACATCGTAGTCCATAGAAAAGCATTTCGAGACTATCGCCGAAATATTTAACAGAGTCACTTCATTATCAATTAAGGTACAGATTAAAGCATAACAGCTCAATAAAGTTTATCATCATTCATACACTTTACCACACGCAATTGTTTAATGACATGTTGTCAAGTACATTAATGATGGCGTCAGATCTTCAATTAAGTCTGCATTGACTGAGCGTCGACTGTCGTGACTGAATCTCTGTAGACTTTATAAAAATAAAATACTAGGTTGCAGGACGGCACATTATTATTATTGTTGCTGATGTGATTGTAGTGCAAAATGTCATGCTCTTGCTGCACTTCATTTGTTCTTTCTTAATTTGCATAAAATAGAAACATGGAAACAGGAAGAGTACAGATAAAAGAGAGAGTAACAGACAGCGAAAAGTGCATCAGGTGCTATCAGGAGGAGGAAAAAAATTCAATTTCCTTGCGAAAAAAATACACCCTAGCGATATTTCTCTTTATTGACTTGACATCATCACTTCTTTTTGCAAAAAAAGCAAAAAATACTTTTCATTTTTACATTGTGAGATGATGAGGAAGAAGATGGCAGTGATATGCTGAGCAAATTTAATTCAGTGTTGTGAAATTGGATTCATTTAAGGGTTGTTCACTTATGATGTCTATAAAAAATTTTTGACTATCCTCCTTTAAATAATTGACGACCAAGGACTGGAGACAGATTTCTAAGGCAGAAAAAGTTTATGTTGGTTTTCTGTCAAGCTAAATTGCAACCTCTGATAGCTCATTGAATAGAGGATATTCCCATAAATCGTAAGAACTTGGGTTCGATTCCTACTCGAGCCAAATTAGAAAATTCACCTTTTTCTGCTAAGAGGTCTTCTGCTAATGACTTCCAAATTTACCGGTCATTTTCAACCCCCCCCCCCCCTGGACGTCATAAGTGGCCCCTCAGTAGTCAACATTAAGTTCTTTAAGTATGAAAATCTAGCTTTTTAACACCTCTGCTATAACAAGATGCTACAAATTCTACCACACCTCAATGCTTGAAGCATCCCTGAAAAACTTTTGAAAAACCACAAAGGATGAATCATTTTCTTATTTTTCCTTATTCAGTGCTTCATTGTTATAAATACAACATCGTTATGCATGCATGCACTTTAAATATACATACATTCTTATACTATGATATTATGTATCATGCTGAGACGTACAAAAAGCGTTATACCAACAGCTATTGAAATTTCTTCATTCATGCACAGCAAAAAATAAAGTTGTCAATTTCTTGTTGTATCCCAGCAAACAGTAAATTGAACTTCATACAATGAGCTTTCTTGCTTCACTAAATATTCATTCAGTTAATGTTACATTCAATTTTATTTTTATTTATTTACACAATTTCAATGTATGGCTGTAATAGAAACAGTAGATAGATGCATGTCGATTTATCTCATCACGATTCTATTTAGCAGGATTTAAAAGAAAAAGTTTATCCTGAGGGTCAGATCTGACTGATAAGAAGTGTTTTATTGCTTTTTCATGCGTCTAAACATCTCAAGATGCACAACTCAATTTTTACTTCCTATTTTGTATCTATGTGGCAATAGGTTAAGTTAATCCGATTGGAAAAATGAATATTCGTGTGAGTGAAAAGGATGAATGAAATATTCATGAACGAGAAGGGAAAGTAGCACTTGCTTCTTTTTATTCGCTCCTTTATTTAATTACTTGATGGATTTTGTTAAACCACGAAACCACTTTAGGGCTCATTTAAGACTGATATACACATGCAACATAACATAAATTGGTTTTTGCTTTCTATGCTTAATTTTCTGTGTACGAATGAAAAAAAATGAGGATGAGGATGAGGAAATAAAAGAAGCAAAGAGATTTAGGAGCGATCAAGGACGAAATCATGAAAGATAAATGTATTCGAATAATGATGTAGATAAATTTGATATTAGAGGCAAAATAGCTTGTCTAAATAACAAAAATACTTTAAATGCTATAAGACAGAGTTGTTCAAACTGTGTACCGCGACACACTGGTTTGCCGTAGAAATTTTATGGAAATGACGCCAGAGGTATGCTGTGTGTGACTTTGGTCATTACTTACCCTTCAGAGGTGCAGTGGATTAGAAAAAAGTTTGGACAACACTGCTATAAGGAGTAATCCATAAAGGACATCCATAATATTTTTTACACCTCATATTTCCTCTGTTACAGAGTCAAGGGGTCTAGGTAGGGTGCCCTGATGTTAATTGAAAAAATTGAGGACCTGAAAATTAAATAGAGGACATCCTACGTGTCTATCAATTTTATTCGTTTTCTGGATGAATTTGAACAAAACAAAACTATTTTATTATTGAAAAATGAAAAAAATATAAAACTGTCCTCTGAAAAACCAAGCAGATGGTCAGCCTAGTTCTATCTTTAAAGTGGAAAGTATTGAATTTCTATAAATGAATTTTGATTCGATAATCTGCTAAGATGTTGTCACAACCCCAGACCCCCCCCCCCCCCTGCCATTTCGGAGCATCTACAACTACAATTAGTGATAAAGATAATTTTTGAAAGCTGATATCAAGCCCAAAGTAAACACATCTTAAATCACTTAAAAAGAAGCTACTTAAAGATATAAAATGGGCTAATCTTAAATTCCACATGACTATGTCTAGGTTATATATTGATGCAAAAGTATATCAATCCAAAATAGACATAATGATCTCTCGGCAAACATATTTCATTGGGAAAATGTTCGATAATGAAATAAGAACATCAGCTATCAAATTAAATATTGAATCGAAATAAATTTTCTTTTTATACAAAAAGTTGAAGAAGCAAAAGCTTACAATGAACGAGAGAATAAGAATGATAATAGCCCGAAAAAAAAAGTTTACTTTTCTTCATTTATGTCGATCTAGTGAATAATTAATTTAATCAGTGACCTGAGCAATAATAGCCTAGCTCATTCAAAGTCTAAAGGAGAAAAAAAGAAATCATTCGGTAAATGTTCTAGGCATTTTCTCGTTCATGCTTATAATTTCTTCAATACATTTAACTCAATGAAAAGAAGTTTTTGTTTAAGTATGTGTGGAGTAAAGGAAAGAGATAGACAGATGATACTGATTGATTGCTTGATTGCTTTCTCTAACTTCCTTCATTTTATAGATGTTTTTTAAAAGTTAAAGTTCGTTGATTGAGACTTTAAAGTTTATTAAAAGTTTTGAAGAATTTCAATGTTGGATGTAACAAAACCAGGAGCTTGTTCCTGCAGTTACCATTTTTAAATGATTGCTCAAACAACAACTTTCTACTTTCAACACGGCGACTTGGTTGTGATCTATGGATTTTGTCGTGTCGCTCAGGTTGGGTTTGTACTTGTCAATTAATCCTAAAAGAGCATTAATGGTTATGCTAAAAAGCAAATTCCACACAATGCAAGCCTAAAGACCTCTACCCGAATAGCACAAGTCGGTTAATCGATCAGAAATCCAGCACCAAGCCAACATTTGAAGCCAACATTAAATTAAATCTATCACCATGCCAAAGTCATGCCGGTTTTGGAGTCGAATTTCTTTTCGATTAATCGACTTGTGCTATTCGGGCTGGTTTCACCAAAAAACAGAACCTTGCTTGTATTTTGTATCTTTCAAAAGTTTACCAAGACTAAACAAATTTACAATTTTGATTCATTCTGAATCAGAAATTCGAATTTGTCAAGGTTTATCGACATCACGTAATACAATTC